GGCTTCCATCCTTCCAGCCAGCTGCTGGGAGCAGCTCAGGCTCCATGGCTATCAGCAGCTACCCAGAAGCTGGGCTGGCTGCAGCCAGGAGGCTACAAACAGCTGCTGTCCTCCCGCCTGGCCCTGGCCCCAGCCCCTGCCCCAGCTCTGGGAAGGCAGCAGGTGCTGGCACTGCGCCCACTGGGGCCAGAGCAGGGAGGCAGCAGCTGTTTGCAGCCTCCTGGCTGTAGCCGGCCCAGGCTCTGGGGTAGCTGCTCCCAGCAGTCCTTGCAGCCTCCCAGCCATGCTTGGCACACATGCCGGGGGTTGCCAACCCTTGGTTTATACCCTGCAGTACTGTAGTCAAATTGATGTTGCCACTTGCTGAAGGGCCTTTGTTGTAGAAATCACTAATTAAACTACTGCTGTTTTTGACAGGCCAATTGTTTGGGTGGTGGGGAAGGAAGCATACAAAAAATAGTTAATGTTTGTTTGAAAAAGCTTAAGTGTTGATCTGCTGGTTTCATATGTTTGGCTCCTTTTCTTCCTCTGCTGTTTTAAGATATTTTGTAACCAAATTGGCTTACACAAGCTGGAAGGTCTTCAGATGATTTGTATTGTAAAGAAGACCTTCTGGCTTGTGTAAGCCAACATTGAGACATTTCTCAATTTTTTTTAGTATTCAAGATGACTGAGAAACAAGTCAGTGACAAATATGTGTAGATAACCTATATTTTTATTTCCCATATATTAAATGTTTGTTAACTGAGTATTAAAACATAATTACTCTATTTAAAGTACTACATATTTTGAAGACAACATATAACAAAACCCAGGAAATTTCAAATTGAGTCTTATGTTCTGACCTTAGCCTGTAATATGGGTAGTACCTGAAATAAATTAAGAGATGAGGTTGGCATATTGAGGAGCCATCCTTGTGCCCATAACTGTGCCCATGGTTTGGAAGAAGTGATGATTGTTGAACATGAAGGTGTTATGGGTGAGGGTGAAGTGGATATGCCAACCTCTTCATAAGCCACCTAGAGAAAAAAATTCTAGAAAACTGCACCATCAAACCTGTACTATACCTGCATTACATAAAACAATATTTTTATCATCTGGACTCACTTATTGACCACAGGATTAATAACAACTATCACTCCTAAATCAAACTTTTTCTGGAATAACTAACATCAGCTTTCTAGATACCATAATCCACATTCAGGATTCATAGATTCATAGATTGTAGAGTCGGAAGGGACCACAAAGGATCATCATGTCTGACCCCCTGCCCCTGGCAGGAAAGAGGACCGAGGTCAGATGACCCCAGCCAGGTGTCTATCAAGCCTCCTCTTGAAGACCTCCAAGTTAGGTGATAGTACCACCTCTCTTGGAAACCCATTCCAGATTCTGGCCACCCTTACTGTAAAAAACTTCTTCCTAATGTCTAACCTGAATCTACTCTCTACTAGTTTGCACCCATTATTCCTACTTACTCCTAGGGGTGCTCTGGTAAATAGCTCATCTCCAATTCCCTGTTGTCCTCCCTTGATAAACGTATAGGCAGCTACAAGGTCTCCCCTCAGAGGTCTCTTGTGAAGGCTGAAGAGACTCAGATCCCCCAGCCTCCCCTCATAGGGTCTTTCATGGAGGCTACTAATCATGTGAGTGGCCCTCCTCTGAACCCCCTCCAGATTCTCCGTGTCCCTCTTGAAGTGCAGTACTCAAAACTGGACACAGTACTCCAACTGCGGCCTGACCAATGCTGCATAGAGGGGGAGCATCACCTCCCTCAAACTGTTGGTCATGCAACTGCTAATGCATGACAAGGTGCAATTGGCCTTGTTGATGTCAACTATGACTCCAAGATCCCTCTTAGCCACTGAGGAGGTCATCCCCCAACCTCTAGGTGTGCTGGGGATTCCTCCTCCTTATGTGGAGTACCTTGCATTTATCTTGGTTGAATTGCATGCTATTTCATTCTGCCCATTGATCCAACCTGTCCAGATAGGCCTGTATCTTCTCCCTGCCCTCCAGTGTGTTAACTTTGCCCCATAACTTGGTATCATCAGCAAACTTGGAGAGGGTGCTCTCCGCACCATTGTCCAAATCGCTGATGAAGATATTAAATAACACCAGTCCAAGGACCGAACCCTGCCTACCTCCTTCCAGGCCAAGAACAACCTGTCTACCACCACTCTCTGGGTGCAGTTCCTAAGCCAGTTGGCCACCCACCTGACTCTGTAAGCATCCACTCCACAGCCTGCTAGCTTCCCTATGAGAATAGGATGTGAAACTGTGTCAAAGGTCTTCTTAAAGTCCAGGTAGATGACATCAGCCTCAGCTCCTGTGTCAAGGTATTATGTGACCTGGTCATAAAAGGCTATGAGGTTTGTTAGGCAGGATCTACCTGTAATGAACCCATGCTGGTTTCTTTTCAGCATCATTTCCCCTGCTGGGCCTTCACAAATGCACTCTTTGATGATTTTTTCCAGTATTTTCCCAAGTAGAGGTAAGACTGACTGGCCTAAAGTTACCCGGCTCATCCGTTCTCCCCTTCTTAAAAATGGACAGCACATCGTAGGATGGCACCCTACAAACCCCATATACAAAAAACCATGCTTATGTCCACAAGACTGCTGATCATCCTAAGCACACCAAAACAGCTGTAATCTAGTCAGGCACTCGGATACCACCGGACCTGCCTGAGAAGAATACCCACCTGGCCAACTTAAAATCTTCCTTTATACAACAAGGACACTTTAAGAGAAATAGATTTGAAAGAGATTTGAAAAGTAGATTTGAAAGAGCAATCCAGATACCACACAGTAATCTGCTATAATACAAAAAGAAACCCTGCTGTGACTGCACATCTCTGGTGGTCCTTACCACCCCACACTGGAACTGATCAGAAGAATCATCATTGATCAAACTACAGCTTATACTCAACAAACGTCAGACCTTCCTTGAGGGAAGAATTCCCAACCCTTCAGCTTCTGGCTTTCAAATACTCCCCTAACCTTACCCACTTCATCATTAGATGCAAATTCTGCCCCTATCCAACAAACATCAAGTGGGACACGAGCTTGCCTTAGCAGCCAATGCTTAACAAGTCAACTCATCTCCACTGCTACTATAACCAGCAGCTCCCAATCAAGGCCCCCGTGGTAAAGGGCAGGTGCTGCACAGCCAGGGCAGGACATAAGACAGAGCCACGAGTGGGTCATCTGGGGGGTGCATTGAGGGCGGGGAAGCTGGTTCCCACCACTGCACACACCCTGGGAGGCCATGGAGACATTTCCCTTGGATCTTCACCTGGGGCAAGGGTGGACTGCCACTGCAGCCCGCAGTCTGCCCTGCCCCGCATGCACATCTGGGGTCACACACCCTTGTGCCCTCCTGGGGTGCATGCAGCGGCTGGAGCTGCCAGCTCCCCAGCACCCTCCGGATGAGCCACTTGTGGCTCCATCCTGTACTCTGCCCTGGCTAGACAGTGCCTGCCCCTGCCTCAGCCTACTCCCTCCCTCAACATGGGGGCCTATGGGAGTGGGGCTATGGAGGGGCAGGCTGCAGCCACTCCAGAATTTGCCATAGCCCCCCCCAACACCCCCTCCCAGTGCCACCACCAGGAAGAGCCTGATGCTGCTCCAGCCCCAACCCACAGCAGCAGCCCATCGCACCCCGCCCCTCATGCAGATCCAGGGGGACATGCCCCCCCATGCCTTCCTGAGGTGCAGATAGTGGTGGGAGCCACCCCCCCATAAGTCTCGGTCTGGTGTCCTGCCCTGGCTGAGCAGCCCTTGCCCCTCCCCTAGCCCCACTCCCTCCCCCATGCCCCTTCCCCCACAACAGATTTGTGAGGGGAAGCCCCATGGCCCCAGTGGGGGGGGGGGCAGAGATGAGTAGCCCCAGTGAAGGGGTGGCCCCAGTGAGGGGGCAGTATGGAGCCCCAGTGAAGGGGAGCAGTGGCAGATGTAGAGCCCTAATGAGGGGGTGGCCCCAGTGAGGGGTGGAGATGAGGAACCCCAGTGAAGGGGGGAAAACCAGAGGACTGAGAGCCCAGTATGTTTATATATAGAGAGAGAGACAGTTGCCCCAGGAAGCGGCCAGGGCAAGCTTAGACCTGGTCGGGTAATTGGCTGGCCACTACTGCAGTGAGGGTTGTGGGAGAAGCCCAAAAGATGGTACGTCTGCCACACAAGGTATGAGCTAGCTAAAGCCTACGGCCTAAGGGGCCTACTCCAAGAGGGAGCAAGGCAGTATAAGTTGTCGATGCGTGAAAGAGACCCTGTGAGAGAGGGTGGAGTGTGAGAGGCCTTAGTGAGAGGAGGGAGGTATGAATGTGAGTGTCTAAGGCCCGACAACGAGGCCTAAGCTTGGTCCGGCTGTAGGCCGGGAGCACTGTAACATCTGGATGCCATCTGCGAGGCTTGGACTGTGGTGTAGGGGAGGAACAGAGCCTCAGATAGCGCCCCCTGGCATCGGGGCAAGAATGGGCAGCCTCCTGCCTTAACATCCTAATTAATTAACAAGGTGTGGCAGACGAGTCAGGTGTGTGGTGTGCCCAAAGGCAAGTGGGTAAACTAGCACTGTGGCCACAATCATGTTTTCTTCATCTCTGTGCATGCCATCACCAGAAAGCCCCTATTCATAACAGAGAATTTTTATGTTGCTTGACTTCAGCACATCTGAAGTCATAACTTTAGTTTTCTGTGAGCCTGTCAGCACCACACTATGTAGGATATTTTTTCGTTTTGCGTGCAAAAGCAATAGTGTTATTTCTGGCTTTTTGGAATCTGAAGTGATTTATGTTGGTTATTTTTTTCTTTTCATTAAAAAAATGTTCCTGCAACTTGACTCTCCCTTAGTAGAGAGCACAATGTTGTTTGTACTACTTGCCAAAGCATTGAGCAATGTACCAAACGTAATCTTGAATGATGACCATCTAGGTTGTTGAAAAGTGATGCATGGTACTTCCTGGTATTACTTCTTCTAGCTGTTGTGAAGAAATGTATTCTGTTCCAGAATTACTTAGAGACACATACATGAAGCCAACTAAGAACTAGGGTAGAATTTCCTGAGAATTTCTAGGGTAGTCTTAGCAAAAATCAGTGACGTTTAGAGCTTGGAAAAGTAAATTCCTAATGGGATTTTCCCCTTAATAATTTACTTTAAAGACTTTACTTTTGTTATCTTGTCTTGTTACCGTAAGACCAGATAAACTGAGACAGTATACTCACAACATGCTTAGATTTATCAGTCAATGTGAGGGTTCTTGCACTCTGTTTCTAAACAAACTTTTAAATATTTTACTAAAGGTTAAAAATTAAACACAGACAAATATCTGTGGTTAAAAACAATCCTAGCCAGAGAAATTCATCTAAAAAGGAAGGATTAAAACTCTTCATCATGAAAGTATTGCTGCTCTTAGGTTTTTCATGTGTCTTCTTTTGTACTTACGGAGGAAAGGTAAGAATTTCATTTATTTTAAATGAAACAATATTTTTTTCTTAAATACTAACTGGGAAAAACAGATGATTTTTAAATTTCCTTTAATGGTACTGATATAATTATTCCAACCTTGAATATCTGAATCTTGATGTATATTTTTCTTTCCTTTATTTATTCTAGTTGGGTATTATGTCAGCGGGCCAAATCTGTATGGAGTTTCACATGGGTTCAGGGTTACTCCTAACTTGATTCAGTTGCAGGAATAGGGCCCCAGGTAGTCAAATTCTTCTGTTTATTCTCAGGTTATACTCAGGCAAAACTTCCAGTGAAATATGAGAATTAAGCCTGAATAAGGACAATAGGATCTGTCTCATTGTTTTAATTCTATCACGATATAATTCAATTAATTGAATAAGTATTGACCCATGAATAACAGGACAAATTTGATACGATTACACAACAGGGTAAAGTTTCTATGTGAAATCCTGTTTCCACTCAAATCTGGAACAAAGCACTCATTATTTCAGCAGATCAGGATTTCACTGTAGTACTTTAGACTTGAATTATATTGATTTAACAAGCCCGTTCAAGAATGCCAAGCCAAATCTGGGGGCTAACTTTTTTCTTATATCTGTATGCAGAAGTCTGATTGATGTAATTTTTATATTTCAACATTCTTTTTATCTAAAATAGTAGCAAGGAAAAGTGCCAAACATTCAGTGAAATCAGGTCCAGATTAACCATTTAGCAGGCCCTAGGCAGGGGTGGGAGAGGCCAGGAGCCAAGGCCTCCCCACCCCTAGAGCAGCTACAGCAGGAGAAAGAATACCTTCCCCTCTTGGTGCTGCCATTGCGAAGGTGTGTGACTTGGTTCTCATTCACTCACTAGCGAGTTACCATGAGCAATGTAGTATAAGTGAGGAGAGGACTCGTTTACATATTTTGCTTGCATAGTCCAGGTATATGCAAGATAGGTATGCAAATGAGTCTCATTGTTTGTTTTGTATTGCTCTCATGGCTGGCCAGCAAGTGAATGCGAACTAGGTCAAAGCTGAAAAAGAAATTATATTTACCTAGCGGCACCCTCCCCGCAGGCATCCAGGAGAGGGGAAAGGAGAGGAGAGGAGGGAAGGCGAACAGGGCCATTTGCACCACACTGCATTCCCCACCCCCCCAGCTCAGGGCCCTAGGCATGTGCCTAGTTTGCCTATGCATTAATCAGGCCCTGAATGAAATTACTGGGGCTCTGTGTCAGTCAGTATAGGTGTAAATCAACACACAACTCACATGGGCCAGGGCCAGAACTACAGGGTAGCATAGGCCACCAACCAACAAATTTGTGTTTGTGCATGAGGCAAGAAAATATATGGCCATGAAATATACCGGTATTTAATGTTCAAGTTTGCAAAAAGTTCATTATACATAATTGTTTCCACAGTAGACCTTAAAGGAAAACTTTAGATTCAAATCTCTCTCTCACTTAATTTGCTCACATGTGCTTCCTTAAAAATGTGTAGGTTACACTTAAAGAAAATTAGGCCAGAAAAGAACACCTGTTCTGAAGCATCCAGCTGCAATTTTGCTAGTAGCAATTTACAGCTGTGCGAAGCTTCGGTCCCTGATTCGATTAAGCAAAAATTTGGCCTGATTCGGTGGCCGAATCTCCAAATCCAAATCAAATCAGAACCCTCCAAATCAATTTGGAGAGATTCAGAAAGATTCAGATATTTGGACATAGACGCAGCTTTAAATGTTTTTTCTACATACCTCAAGGTACCAGGCGGCTTGTCAATGCTGTGATGCTGGGGCAGATGCAGCACCCCACAGGAATGTGGGGGTCACTTCTGGGTCTGCTGGTGAGCACGCAGGGGGGGCCCCCATGCCTCCCCAGCTGAGTGACTGCCTGCTTCCTGGGTCTGGGGGGGGCACCTGGTGTTGCCTCACAGCTGATCGTCGAGCCAGCAGGGCACAGGGGGGCTCCCCTGCATGCTCCCCAGCAGGCCTGGAAGTGGACCAGAAGTACTTGCTACCGAGCACATGGTGGGGCCCCTCGCGCTCTTGTGGGATGCTCCATCTACCCCAGCATCTCAGCATTCACGAGACGTACTAGTACCTCGAGATATGTAGAAAAAACGTTTAAAGCTGTGTCTATGGCTGAATCGCTGATTCTCTAAATCAGCATCAAATCTTCAGATTCAGATTCGGCTGAATTGAATCGGGGACAGTGATCCAAATCAAAAAATTGATTCACTGTCCCTGACTTGAGCCGAATCTGAATCCGAATCAAATGCAGCCTGCTTCACACACCCCTATAGCAATTTACTGTAAATCCCACTGAATGTCAATTCATCATACCCTTTTTAATGTGTTCAACTTCTGGGGTAAAATTTTCTAATCTGCTGTGTACTAAAACTGACATATTGAAAAGGCAAGACTGTTACATATGCAGGAAATCAGAAAGAAGAGACCCTGGTGAGAGATTCAAAAAGAAAGAGGGTTAACTAAACCCCAAATAAGTTTAAAAAAAAAGGAAGGAAGAGGAAGAAGATAGTGTGGGGCAACCATATATAATACTAAAAACACCTGATGTGAAAGGCCCTTTTGATACAAGAAAAAGGGTAGTGATGGGCCTTATATAACACCCAGTTGGAATCAATAGAAGGACATGCAGTGCTTTCAGTGGATTTTGAAATGGACCCAAATAGCAGCTCATTTGCTTCTTAGACTTATTTCATTTTTTTTCTTTATTTTAGGTCTTCCAGAACCAGACCTCTGAGTACAATAAAGAACCAGTTCAGCAGGTTCAACCAGCTCACAAGGAGACACACCTGTTAGAAGAATGTTTAAAAGAGAAATACACACAGGACTCTTGTCAGAAAGTTTTTTGTCTGCCCTGGAAGAGATGTGTGTCAGGAAATTGTATTTGCAAGCTTCCCTACCAGTGCCCAAAGAATGGCACCTCAGTGTCTTCTATCAATGGAAAAACATTCCGAAGTTACTGTCAGCTGAAGAGCTATGAATGTCAGCACCCAGAAGCAAAGTATATGAGTAAAGGCAATTACATACATGGAGGTATTAGAATCCTATTTTCCAAGCGTATATTGATAACTTGTAGGTACTTTACTCTCTACAGATTAAAAACAATGTTAATTTATTTGCAAAGGGAGGAAACTCAAGAAGCCACTTAGTGTTTGCCCATGCCCCAAGGCAGGATCATCTATAGCTATACCATTCCTAAAGTCTTGTGTCTAACCCAGTGGTGCTCAACCTTTTTGTCTGTGGGGCTGGATGGGCATTGCCCAATCCCTCCACAGGTTGAGTCTGGCCTGTGGACCCAATCTGGCACACAGCATACATAGTAGGGACCCATCTGGCTGCATAGTGGGAGGTTGGGGGCAGCTCTGCCCTGATCCAGCTGTGAGGAGAAAGGGGGCATGGCCCAGCCCCATCCCTGCCCAGTTGTGGGGGCAAGACGCAGCCCTGATCCAACCCTGTGGGAGGAAAGGGACATGACCCAGCCCCAATCTGACTAGGCTGGGTGGAAGGAAGCATGGTCTGGCCCCCGGGAGGAAGGGGGCATGGCTCAGCCGCAACCTGGCCAAGTGGAGGGAAAGGGGCATGGCCCAACGCTGCTGAGAGAGAAGGGAGCATGGCCCTGCTCCAACCAGGCCATGTAGAAGGAAGGGTGTGTGGCCCAGGCCTGATCTGGCCATGGGGAGTGGGGGTTGTGGCCTGGCTCTGACCCACAACGTGGGGCTTGAGATTTTGGAAGTGGGCTGGGGGCATAGTATTAACTGCCACTGCTTCCCCACTGCCAAGGCACAGGGAGCCCCACGAGACAGATTCTAAGGCTCTGTGAGCTGCATTTGGCCTGTGGGCCAGAGGTTGAGCATCTCTTGTCTAAGCCATTCTTAAAAAACTCCTTTGATAAGATTCTACAACCTCCCTACATAATCTATTCCACTACTTGTCTAACCCTTCCATATTTTTTCTGAGCTCATCTTTCCTCTAATACCCTTCTGCAAGGATAACAGTGTTCTGGGTTATGCATTTGCTTGTTTTAGAGACGTTTGATGTTTCTCTGAACTATGGAGATTCAGAGTCAGAGGGTGTAATTCAAGTAAAGCTTGTGAACAACACTGAGAAGTTATTTCTGTGTAACAACAAATGGAGTATGAATGAAGCAAATGTAGCCTGCAGACACCATGGCTTTGAAGCGTAAGTTTTGTAGGGTTTTTGTATAGAAAAGGGCAATGCTGCATGGGGAAACCAGTGTTGCCAGGGCACCACCAGGTGGCAGAAAGAGCTGCCACTCCCAACACCCCCAGGTTTGTTTTTGAAGCCACTGTTGCAGGACCAGGAGACAGTGTTCTCTTCACTTGCTCCACACACATGGGTGGCCAGGGACTACTTTTGATACCCAACTCCCCAGAAAGGGAGTGAGTTCTCAGATAAGAGAGCCACAACTGATCAAGAAGGGGGGCCTACAAGATCAGCCATTGCCATCTTGGGTTGGCAGAAGAGACCCCCAATTAGTGTTGCCATCTTGGGCAGCTTTCAGATAACCCAATCAGCTGTTCCTGTGATGGCAAGAGTTTATCGGTCAAATTTTCCAGGGAGCCTATTGTCCCCTGGCTAGAGAGCATGATCTGAGGCAACTTTGTAGTGCTCCAGTCAAGGGGCACTGCACATGTGTCCATGCCTATAACACTCCATTCTGTAGCTGCAAATGAATTTGTATCTAAGACCTAAGTGACAATTTCATGCTACATGAGACCTGTTATCCTGCAGTAAAGCCCCACAAAATAACTATGAGAGAGAGTTCAATTCCCAGTCCTGGCCATTAACTTTTCAAGCAACATGGGCAGGGATTTGTACCAAGACAGAGCACTGAGTCTTGGTTGAACATTACATATTTAGCCATGACAAGCCTCTGTAATTGCTTATTTACTTGACACAGATTTCTTAATGCAGGAGAATATCAATATTAAAGCAAGAATAAGGCTACCAAAAGATAATTTTATTAAGGGCTCAATCTGGCTTTGATCTCACCACTTTTGGCTTTCACTCACTTCGGGAGAAGTCAAAGATATGTAGCATGATGCAGGATGTTCCCCAAATTCCTGATTAATAAAGTCCACATACAACTAAAGGTCTGACCCTACATGTTTAATTTCTGCCCATGATGAGGCACAGTGAATTTGATGGGGCTATACTTGGGTGCAGGGAATAATTGTATTGAACAATTTGCAGACTAACAACCCCATTTTGTTTTACCTTTTCTTCCAAAAGAGACATCTTTTACTTACCCCTTTTTATTGACTCACCATTTTATTGATGGGGTATATTTATTCCTTCTCACCCTGTTATGCAGCAGGGTGTGTGTGTGGGGGGGGAGGGAATCAAATCAATTCTATATCACAAAATAGAAGGAAGTGTATTCTGTGTTATAACAATTGTTTTCTTAAACTGTATCTTCATAGGGGTGCTGAATATCACAGAAAGACATTCACTGTCCCAGAACATGCCAACACTTCACCTTGGTGTCTTCAAGTGATGTGCAGAGGGCTAGAGACTAGCCTAGCTGAATGTAAATTAATTAAGAGATCAGCTCCAGGTGGTGTAAAGAATTTTGCTAAGGTGGCATGCCATAAAGACCAGAGAGGTTGGTAAAAAGAAAAAGAGGTTTTTTTAGACGCTCTTAAGGTTCTTCATTTTAAGCTGCACTATCAAGTATGCCATCATAGACATACCGTGGGCACTGACAGAAGTGACAGTTTGTTGTGCAATTGGGTCCCTGAAGTGCTCTACAGCCATGCCCTTACAGAAGTGCATGGCTGTAGAGCACTTAAAAACAGCTTGATTGCGTAACAGGCTGAACCCTCATTACATGAAGGTTCAAATAAAGGTGCTCCAGAGCCAAGTGCCTTCATTAACTTATGTCAGCAGGTGCTGGGAGTGGGATAGGGCTGATGTAGCCCATCTCCACCCCCAGTGCTGTCTTCAGAATGGGATGGGGAGAAGGGAGGGAAAGGAGCTTGGTTTAGGGTTTCCCCAGCCTGTGCTGGAGGTTGAGGTAGGAGGACAGCTCCAATCCACTTGCACCACCCTCCAGCCTAGGCTGAGGAAACCCCAAACTGAGCCCCCTCCACTCTCTTCCCCCTTCCCATTATGAAGATAACACTGGAGCTGGGAGCAGGGGGCTATGGGAGGGCAGCTGCTGAAAGCAGCCACTCTAAACTGGAGCTTGATCCCCCAGTCTCCCAGACCCAACAGTGAAAGTCAGTTGGGTCCGGGGGATCACTGTAACTCATGGTGCTTCTTGCAAAGCACCATGAGTTATAGTGGGGAGTGCATGTCTATCAGTAATCTATATAGAGGTATTGAATTGCTTTTTTGTAAAATTTATTATGATTTTCAGCTGTTTAAATAACAATAATAAACAAGGAATACAATTAACCTTTGTACCCCAAATACTCTGAAACCCATTCAAAAAGGGTAACATGACAAAATATTTTACCCCCAATTGGATTCACTTCCTAATCAAGAAAGGCAACTCTAAACTCCTTCTCTTGACAATCTTGCATCCTTCTGGATAATTTCTAACCCTGGTGGAGAGATCCTCCTAGCCATTGCTCTTTTCAGGAAGAAAATGCAATGAAATTAAGTAGCTTCAAAAACCCAGAGCTGGATTGTATGAATTCTTAGTGCTTTCTGCAAGGTGTTCATCACCTCAAATGACTGAACCTGAAATAATTAATTACTTTACTGTTGTAAACTAGTGACCCAGTCCTTGTCTGAAGCTTTTTTTTTATAGTTCTTTGTTTTATATGTAAAATATGATGATGTATGGTTTTGAAGGATTGGGGTTAGGTTGCAGGTTTTGGGGGGGTTTGGTGTTTGGCTATTTTGGTAGCATCAGAGAGAGATGCACTTGGCTGGGGCAATTTATAATCTTCTCTATTTTTGATATAATCACAAAAGCAAAAATTTGGATACTCCTGAAGACAATGTCTCCTTCACAAGGAAGAGTGTCCATCACGTTAATCCCTAATACCATTGAGTAAAATGCCTGATTAACATTTTTATCTGAGTACTTAACAAAGAGAGTGGTTTCCAGGCAGCTGGAAGGTGGAGAAGGGAAAAAACAGGGAGGCCATACTGAAGGTCTAATTAAAGCCTTTTGAAATCAATGGAAAGACACCTACTGAATTCTCTGGGCTTTGGAGGAAGCCCTAAAATGCAAGGGGGAGGGGAGTAGCTAATGCAAAAGTATGCTTATAAATGAGAAATTGCCCAGTACATTTATAGACTTGTAGAAACTTCCACATAGTTAATTTTTGTTCCTGTCTTACAGAATGTACACCAGAGGAATTCTGTTGTGCCAATAAGAAATGCATTCCTCTGACAGAAACCTGTAATGGGATAAATGACTGTGGAGACCTAAGTGATGAATTGTGTTGCAAAGGTAATAATATTGAGTCTGCCTCAATGTACATTCTTTTATGTAACTTCCCCAAGAACTCTCAGAGGCATAAGGCATTATCAATCTGCTTAATTTGAGCTGTGGAAAAAAGTAATTATTTTGTTTATAGGTAAATAAAGAAAGTGATGCATCATATAACTTCTTGAAGTGCATAGATAATCTAAGAGTGTTAGGAGAGAGAGAGTGGCATTATTTAGGAAGCAGAAAAATATTGTCGTTAAAAATTAGTTTGCCTGGTTGAATTAAAAAAGATTAGTATTTATAGGAAAGTTTTGATAGTAAAAATAGATCTGCATCTTTTCCTGTTAGCAAACTGTCCTTAAACGAAGTTAATATCATCTCAAATGTATTACTCATGAAAAATAATTCACAAAAACATCTGAGATGATTCTTGATCTGCAGATCATTCATGACAAGTCACTTTGTTCAGCATTTGAAATTCAAGCTGTGACTAGTTTGCCTGAAAACAGAGGAGAAACAGGTCATATAACTGAAGTGGAGGACCATACGTTTTAAAATGAGGTTAATGTGCTACACAGAAGCAAGCAGAACATGCTTATGAATTCAAAATTCATTTCCACAAATAATCCTGATTTTGGTTTTCTTATTAGTGTTCCTGTTAATAAATTTGTCTGCTAGAATATTCTTAGAAAGTGAATTAATAATGGATGCAAACAAAGACAAAAGTAATTTTTTATTAAAACATAATGAATATATCTGGCCAATTTTTAAAATTGCCAAATGCATTTTGGCTTTGTATTTTTCACATAGGTATGCTTATAACTACCGACATCTATGCTTACAAGGTCCCTGTACCAGCACACTTACAGATTAGGTAAAGTCTGCAAATAAACTGTAGGTAAAAGCATCTTCTAATCCTATACTTGCACCTAAGCTATTCAACAGAACGTGCTTATAAGTAGGGCTGTGCGAGGCTTTGGACAGAGCTTTGGATCCGGAGAAGCTTTGAATGCTTCAGGGTCCAAAGCAGCACGTCCGGGTCAAAGTGCTGGCCTCGTTCGGCTTCCCGAAGCGCTTCGGAGCCACCTCGGTGATCGGGCCATAGGGTATAATAGGGAAACAATAACATATCTATAAATTTGTTGTTTTTTGTCCGATTTGGATGAACTTTTCCAGGGTGGTAGACTCTGCAGAGAGCATGAAGTCTGCCAAGTTTCAAGAAGATTGGTGCAAGGGTTTGGGGGGAATGGCACCCCAAATTCTTGAAAGCAAAACTCATGTCGCCTCTAGGCGTTACAACATAGCAGGATGAAAACTGCAAGTTTCGAGATCAGTACAGGGGTTTGGGGGGAACTGCTCTTCAAGCTGGGGACGAGCAAAACTCATGCCATGAGCGCTGTGGGACTGTGTCTGTCTTGGGGTGGGGAGGGGAGACACTGCTGCAGGCCTGGCTGCTGTGTTCCCAGTTACCATCATGATTTGCTCAGGGACCAGCTCAACACACAGGACCTAGCTGCTACATAATGACTTAACGAGCAGCAATTAGCACCTACAAAACCAGGCTGAGGAGAGGAAAGAATCAATCCAGACAATCAACTGACCCAAGGCAGAGACAGTCCTGGCACAAGTTTTGGCTGTCAGCAGCTAGGGGTGCAGGTCCCCAGAACCCCCCTGCACCCATTACCTCCACAGCCGGCAGGTGTTGTGGCCTCAGCAGGGGCCACCATCCCTGCAGCTGTCACCCTGCTGAGCCTTAACACACACAGTGTCACCCATGGCACCAGTTTTGCTTGTCCATAGCTTGAGGTGCAGCTCCCCCCAAACCCCTGCACCTATTTTCTTGAAACCTGGCAGGCTTTGTGGCATCAGTAAGAGCTACCAGCCCTGCAGTTTTGACCCCCATGTGATGTAACACAGCAGTGACAGGAGTTTGGCTTTCAAGTATTTGGGGTACAGTTCCCCCCAAACCCCTAAACTGATCTTCTTGAAGCTTGGCAGGTTTCGTGCTCTCAGCAGAGGCTACCATTCCTGCAAGTTTCATCCAAATCAGACAAAAAACAACAAAGTTATAGATATTTAATTGATTCCCCATTATACCCTATGGCCGGATCGCCGAGGCAGCTCTGAAGCTTCAGAGCCTCTTCGGCCGGCTCGAGGGGGAAACCCGGTCCAGAGCTCCAGATCGGATTGCGGCCATCCGAAGCGGCCAGATCTGAAGCTGGATCGGATCGCTGCCGACTGGCACAGGCCTACTTATAAGTCACTTAGGCCCGCTCTACATGTGCAGGCAAATGCACAATGGGATCTCATGCACAATTCGCACCTCCTGCCACGCTACATGTCCTCAGGGAGTGCTAGGGACCATGGTAGCCATGATCCCCAGGGTCTGGGAGTTTCCCACACCCCCAAGCACTAAGAATAATGGCAGTTGCGATCCTTAAGGCCTGGGGGGTTTATGCACCTGAGCTCTGGGGATCACAGCTATCTCAGTCTCCTGGGTCTCTGGGGGTTTTGCACTAAGCATGGTACACCCAGCAGTTAGGAGCCATGTCAGCTGACAGGGCTCCCAGCTGCAGTGGAGACCCTACTATATGTGCAAATTAAAGTTCGGTAGCAACCAACTATAAAGTCCATACAGTTTTTCAAGGTCTAAGTAGCTGGTTGGAGAGGTTATTGTATAACAGCTGCTTTCCCGGTAACTGGGCAATTAACCAGTTAATTGCACAATACCTTTAATGTGTAGAGGGGGCATTAGAAGCATAGTTTAGGCTTCTGCTTTTGGAAATGTTAGCCCTACTCCAGGGAGCATCCTAAAGCTCTACTGAAATCAGGAATGCTAACAAGAGAGGAAGTTGAGTGATGTTTAGTTGGGGTTGACGTGAAGACAACTTTTGGAAAAAAATAGCAAGTAGTCTTGCTAAACAAGTTTGGGAACTATTGCTAAATTTTTGTAGCCTTGAAACTGAAAAATACAGAGTATACAGAATTAACGGTATCCATTTCATCTTAGGTTTACAGTGTCCGGTGTCATCATATAGTTATGAACATCTGATTTGGACGTATTATTCTTGCCATGTGTTAAGCTGCTGAACCTTTTGACCCCATCCACATAAATGGTATTCTCTTTTCCTCTACAGAGTGCAAGAACAAGAGTTTTCTCTGTAACTCAGGTGTGTGTATTCCAAAGACTTACCTCTGTAACAAGGAAATTGATTGCCTTACAGGAGAGGATGAACTACAAGTGAACTGTGAAGGTACTTTTTGATAGCTTTATTCTCTCTGTCCTGATCACTTTCAACTAAAGCATAAAGAATGCTTACATATTTCACCCCTACTTATGCAAACGGAAGCCAAACAATTATTAATGGAGTCATTCTTTTATTTTGCTTTGAACTTGCTCTTCCCTTTCTTGCTGGAGGTGTCATGATCATATACCTTTGTAAATCTGAGGGCAGAACTGTTCAGTCATTTGCTTCCATATCTATTTCTGATTTATAAGCTCTTCAACAGTGGCTCAGTTACTGATTCACCCCTACCTATTTAGTTTGGCTCTGGGTTTTGTTTTAGTTAATCAGCTTGATGTTGCCTGTTCTGGTAACGCCAAAAATGTGCTGAGATACAATACAAAAAATCTTCATTCACATAACTGGAGCATGTTCTCCAACAGCTGCAAAACCATCAACAAATTTTAGTTACAGAGATACTAAACCTACTTCTATATCTATAAGGATAATAAAGAGATAAAAATATTCTGCTCACCTATTCCATAGCTATCCTAACGGTAGTGTATTAACTGCTTTTTGAAAATTCAGCTAAGTGCCTGAGTTGGAACATTTTTAAAAATAATGTAAAGTAAGTCTGTTAACTCATTCCATATTATCCTATTTGAATTTTATTCCTAGGTAAACAAACTGTAAAGCCAATGATTAAGGTCAATATTTTGGTATTATGTTCTGGTGTTTGTGCTGCATGTATTTATTTAGGCATTTCAATAGTGTTATTTACCATATTAAATATTTCCCTATGTAAGCAAATAAAAGTTTGGGGACTGTATGCCAGAGAAAGAGGGAGAATTTGAAATGCATTAATGATTTTGTTCTTTATTCCTAGATAAAAAAGAGTCCAGAGCCTGAAATTTAAGATCAACATGATGATGGCATTTTATATGTATACATTTAGGTGTTTTTATAACATTAGTTTCCCTAGTGTAGTAATTCTGTCCTGATGCAATGTTGTGAAAGGCTGGGAGAGCATTTTCACATGTATGCCAAAGAAAGAGAGAATATGTGGTATGCTGATGATATTGCATTTTATTTATAGGTGAGAAAATGACAGAACCAGAAATTCAGGGTGAACCTGATGGTATTTTATTATTTTCAAAATTTTATGTTAATTACTAGCTGTTACTATATACTTATCCATGCAATGGATGTTGTGAAAGTATGAAGAGTATTTTCATGTGTATACTAGAGAACGAAAGATAACTTGATATATACTCATGTTTTTATGTTTTATTCCTAGATGAACAAAATGAAGAACTAGAAATTCAAGATCAAGATGATGGTATTCTATTATATTAATGTTTTAGGATGCTAATCACCATAGTATACCAAACAATTTTCTACGCAATTATATGAAAGTTTAGAGAGAGCTTTCATGTGTTTGCCACAGAAAAAGAGAGAATTTGTTATATACTGACGTTTTGGTGTTTCATCCTTAGGTGAACAAAGTCCAAGGCCAGAGAATCAAGATCAACTTTTTGGTATTCTGTTATAACTAACTTTATTCTCATAGGCTTTGTTATGATGTCAGGAACATAGCATGAGAAATATTTTCTTATTTAGTCCTAGATGAACAAAGTTCAGAACCAAAGGCCAATATATCAATAAAACCAAATGTTTTATTGATATAGTTATAATTTTAAAGCAGTTTGGAAACCTATCATTGCCTCAATCACTAGAATAAAATTAATTCTAAATAACTATAAATTCTGGTATTTGATTTTGGGTTTTTTATCATGGAAAATCAGAGCTCTTCCTGCCCCCTTCACTCACCAGGGCACAGGTCCAGGCCCCTCACTCCCAAGCCACAAATCTCCAGCCCTGCAGGTACCCTTCCCTCCCCACCCACAGCCCTCTGGCCCTCCTGGTGACCCTCATCCCCCCACCCACAGCCCCTTACCCTGCCAGCCCTGCTGGAGGGGATCCCCTCCTGCCAGGGCTACGAGGCCAGGGACGGAGGACCCTGGCCTCAGGTGCTGCTGCCCCCTGCAGCAGCACCTGAGCCCTGGCTGCCACTTATGGGAGGTGGCAGCTGCTGTGGCCGGAGTAGGGAACAGAGCGTGGCGCTCAGGTCCCCCTCCCCCATGGGCAGCACAGCCAGAGCAGAACCCATCAGGGAGGGCAGATGCAGGCTTCCCACTGGGCTCAGGCTCTCTGCCTTGCTGCCCTCCCCCCAGGGCCTTTGCAGCTCAGTGGGCAGGACCTGGCATGCAGGGCAGAATGGGGCCATGCAGGGAAGCTTGTTGCCACCACGAGCCCCTTAATGTCCTGGCAAGGTGTCCTCTGCCAGTCCAGCAGCAGTGAGGGGCACTCTGAGCCGCCACCCCTGCTGCTGCTGGGCAGGCAGGGGTCACTTCACCAGGGTGGTACAGGGCTCCTAGAGGCAAAGAGCTTCTCTACCCAGCCCTGCTCTGCCCTGCCACAGCAGGGGGCTGCCTGCCAGGCTGTGGAGGCCTTGGGGGGAGGGCAGCAGGGAGGGGAGCCCTGAGCCTGCAGCAGGCAGCCCGCCCCCTCCCCTGCCCCAGACAGAAATCTGGAAGGCATGTGCCACCTCCTGTCCTCTCCAGGAGTGCACGCAGGGCCAGGGAACCAGGCCCTCCTGCCCCCCAGATGAGCTGCCCACAGCCCTGTCCTGTTCCCTGCCAGGACCCTGCGGTCACGCATTCCAGCCCTGGACCCCAAGCCCCATGCACTGCCTGGCTGGGCAACAGCCCCAACCCTACCCAACTCCCTCCCTCCCTCCCTTCCTGGTGGGGTGGGCCTCAATCCCCACCCAACAGACTGACCTACGGGAGCTGCTCTCCAGGCTGCCTGGTGGTCATGTGCATATCCAACATGTTTGTATTCTATTATTTCTAGCCATACACTCATAGGCATTGTTATGATGTTATCAACATAATATAATAGGTATTTCCTTATGCAATACTGTAAAATTTGTAAGAGATACATGTGCCAGAGTGAGAGAGTGAAATTTTATAGTGATATTTTTGTGTTTTACACCTAGTTGAACAAAGTGTACATCAAAGTTCAGCATTTTGGTATAATTTTTTTGTTCAGATATAGCTATTGATTCAAATATCAACATTCCTATCATGTTAGTTGCTACAGTATACTGAATACTTCCCCATGCAATGCTGTAAGAATTTGGAAAGTATATGTGTATACCAGAATGAAAGGAAGATGTTGGTGTGTATTAATATTTTTGTTTTTATTTTTAGATGGACAATATACAGAGACTCAAGGTCAACAGATTGGTATTTAATTTTTTTCTTCAGATATAGATGTAGATATTGGCATTTCTATTATGTTGATCACTAAGTGTGCTGAATACTTCTTTATGCAACGTTGTAAAACTTTGGAGAATATTTTTATGTGTGTGCCAAATTTGGAAATGGAGGGAGAATGTGGTGTATATTATTGATGTTTTCATGTTTTATTCCCAGATGAACAAAATCCAGGCCACAGATTTAAGGCCTGTATTGGTGTAATTTATTATTTTTATTCACATATTTATAGGCATTCCTTTGCTGCATGTCACCATTACATACTACACATTTCACTGTCTAATGAAGTAAAAGTTTGGAGACCATTTACATTAAGTGTCCAAAGATGGAGGTCATTTGGAGTTTGTTGATGTTTTTGCATTTTATTCCTAGGTGAACAGAGTCCAGAGCCAGATGTTCAAGGTCAATATTTTGGTATTCCATTAATTTTATATATTTATTCATTGGCTTTTCTACTAGGTTAATCAGGATAGTATATTAATTATTTCCTTATGCAATGCAGAAAACATTTGGAGAGCATTTACATTTGTGTGTCAGAAGAAGAGAGAGTAATTGATGAATTTCTTTTTTTTTCCAAGGTAATAAAGAAGAAAAACATAAAGGTAAGTTTTTCAGTTTCTTATTTTTGTATACAGGCAGTCCTCAGGCTTACGACACAATTGGTTCCTGAGAACTGTATCTTAAGTCGAAACATTGCAACTCGGAACCAATTTTCCCATAGAAAACAATGTTATAAATGGAGGATTGTTTCCTGAACCAAGGCCCAATACCCTGTTTTCACCAAAAATACCCCAGAATTTTGTACTCAATCAATTATAGATGAGTAATATAGCTACTTTAACATATTTATATTGTAAATAGCAATCAGATTGATTTGGAAGGACTGCTTTGAGGTGACTTTGCTGGACTTTTTGAAGGGATCCTGGTTGGACTTTTTGAAGGGCTCTTGGCTGGAGTCTTCTCAGGAGTCCTGGCTACAGGTTTTTCTGGAGCCTTGTCTGCTTTCTTAGAGAAAGTGTCCAAGGAAGTTTGGACAGACAGGAGATGGGCAACGCAGAGAACTTGTTTGCTGGCATGGAGTGGCATCGGATCAAGCGTTGTAAAGTCGAAAATGATGTCAGAAAGTTGAAACGGTGTCAATTTATAAACGTTGTAAGTGCAAAACGTTGTAACTCTAAACGTTGTAAGTCAAGGACTGCCTGTATTGCAAAGTTCTTCATGCCAGTTAGCCATTTAATTTTTGCTGGTAGCTCTTGCTCAGTGGTAAGTATCCCACGGAGCAGACATTATAGGAGTAGGAAAAGCTCTCTGTTTTGGAGGTTAAACTTAGATAGCATTATTTCCCACATTCTGATCATTTTAAACTAAAACATAAGGATTGTCCATGTATTAAACTACGTAAGAGGAAAAGACTAGCAGCAGAAGGGGTGCCTATAGACGTGCAGGGACACTGTTCCCACACACTGTAATTACAGTTCTTTTAGCTGTGGTGCTCCATGCACTTTCAAAAGATTTAAATTTAATTTTGTTTCTTTTAATTTTACTTTGCTTACTCCTGAAGTAACTGTTACACCAACATATCCCTTTGCCAGTTTCCTCCAAAGTCCAGACAAACCTACCCCCAACCACCCTCAATTCTCTTCTGGTTAGAAATTTTCTTTGACAGCTTTCAAGCAGAACATGTTAAATATGTTCCAGAAGCAGATGAAGGAAAATTAAATTAAATTTATACCAGAAAACTAGAAAAGTATTATCTTATTTGAATTGTGGTGGTGTCCAAAGGAGTCTGGACATGCTATAGGCACACCCAGTGTAGAGACCACAATGCTGTAAGTACAATGCTCAGGGAGGTGAGAGGGGCACCTTCTGTGGAAGGAAAGTACCTTGCATAAGGTGTAAAAATATGATGGTAGAGCTCTCCAAATAATGTTATATTAAAGGAAGACATCTGCTATTTGTCCCCTGAACAAATGGTGGACCATGCCCATTGCCCCCGCCACAGCCCCCTATCTACAACCCTGTATCTAAGGCCAGAACTGGTCAATCATTTGCTCCCGAATCTATTTCTAACTGATAAGCTCTTTCAGTGTCTCACCTAGTGAGTCACCTCTGTCATTATTTAGTTTGGCTCTGGGTTGTGTTTTAGTCAATCAGCCTGATGCTGCATGTTCTGGTTACGTCTGTAATGTTCTGAGATATGTATATTTCTTCTGAATTCAGTCAAAAACATGCTTGATTCGCATAATGAGAGTTCTTTCTCCAGAAGCTGCAGCCACTGACACCTTGCAAATTTTAGATCTAGAAATACAAAATTGACTTAATAAAAACATTAGAAATGTTTTATCCACCCATCAATACATAATTAGTGGTTCAAGGTGGCAAGAATTTCTTAAGACAAGATTTCTTAAGATCATTTTCCTAACTGCAAAATCAGTGCAAATGGGAAAGACTTTTTAAGGGAAAATGTACAGTAAACAAACTGCAAAAGGACATGATACTGATATTCTATTAATGTTATTAACATATTTATAGGCATTTTCATGATGCTTATCACAAAATTATATTAAATATCTCCCTATTAAACATTTTAAAAGTCTGGAAAACATTTACCTGAGTTAGTCTGAGAAAATTTGATATATATTAATATCTTTGCTTTTTATTCCCAGTGATGATACACACAAGAGCAAAAGGGAAAGGTAAAATGTTTAATATGTTTGCATATTTAATTAGGCATTGGCACTGTGCAGAGTTCTCTATACCAATTAGCCATTTGATTTTGGCCCACAGCATTGGACTTTTAAGAAGTATATTTTTCCTGTGACCATCATTATCTACAGGAAATTGCAAGATTTCTAGTTGTCTTTGCAATAGAAGTGGGTCTTTAGAAAGGATATAAAAGATACGGTTGTACTTCTTTGTATAAAGTTGAGGGAAGATTCTCTATGTACAAGGGAGAGGGAAGGAGAAGCTCAAAGGTGATCATGGGATAAGAAGTAAATGCCCAGGCAGTTGGAGAGGATATGTAGAAAGAAGAATAAATACAGGAGGCAGAGTTTTCTGTGATATGAAATAGCTGTGCTTTCTTTTTCTCTCAGCTATGTATTGACTTTAATAGGAGCAGAGTGCAGAATCCATTTGCCCTCAAATCCATTTCTCATGTCTCCCCTGCTGATTCATCTTTACCCTTATTAATTTTAGATTTCATTTTAGTTAGTTGTTGTGCCTGGAGTGTATCAACATAACTATATTTATTTGGAATTAAATTAAAAAACAAACTCAGTTCACATAATGAGAGCTCTTTCTCAGCAGCTGCACCTAAGGCAACTTTGCAAAATCATCAACAAACTTTAGTCACATGGGGGCCTATACACAAGCCACAATTCCAAGTCTGCTGGAGTGTGGTAATTACACACTTACGTGTGCTTGCTTAAAAATGCTTTAATATGGCAGCAGGGTCACTTTAACTAAAGCTCATTCAATGAGCTTTAACTAAAGCACCCCACTGCCATTTTTAAGCATGGGGCTGCTGATACATGAGATGCTCTAGGCACTTTATTTAGAGCCCAGAGTTAAAGTGCCCCTGGTAGAGCAAGCCCTCTAAAGGTAGAGTAAATCTGTCTGTTCTAGTTTTATTTTTTTACATTTTATTCTAAAGCCAGAAATTCAAGGTCAATATTCTGATGTGCAGTCTGCAAAAATGGCCCAATCCTTCAATCTTTATATAGGCAAAATTCTATATATATTCAACCCCTGGTTGACACTCGCCACCACTCCGCTGCCAACAGCACCAGCAGCGTTTGCGGGAGCTCCTGCTTACTGCTGCCACACTCTTGCCATCGCCACAGTGCTCACTCCTGCCACTGCCATCCCCCCCACAGCCGCTGGGGGCACGCATCATTCATGCCCCCACCCACTGCCCTCCTCAGAGGGTCTACACCTGAACAGACGCCTCTCCACAAGATGGGGTATGCTATTTCTTTCCCGTTGTCCTCTTCTATCTTCCTGTAGTACTAGTACATTTTGCTCAGTTCCGTTTTAATACAGTCCTCGACTGTGAGGTCTGACCGTCAGTTTATGAGCAGGTTCCTGGCTTTCCACAGTGCAAACCTGAAGCAGGATATGAACTGGTTGAAGCAAGCTGTCGGGGTCCCTTGCTGTCTGGTAAGGTGCCCATAGAGAACCACTTCCCTGATCAGGTTTCTGAAACCTGGTTGGTTGGGAACAGCCTGTTGGTTCAGGGTGCTCAAGAACACCAAGCAAATCTTTCCTTGCCACAGCCCCACAAGTCCCCCTGCCAACAAATCCCCTCCACACACACCCAGCCCTTCTCCCCACTGTCTCAGGATTTTCTTATCTCAGGATCTTTTCATCTTGTCATTAATGGTGTCATCTAAACTAAGGAAATTCCTTGGGTTCCTGAAAGCTTCATTAAATGGGTGCTAAAAACAGACAAGTTGGATTTATCCCTGAGTTGACTGTCCTGACTTTGACTTGCATCAAAATAGGCAAGGGGAGGGTGGGAAGAGAAGGGGGAGAGAGGTGGGTGGGGAGTGACAGTCTTACACATGCATCTTGCATGGCAGTTAATTGGAATTGATTCCAGTTTTGTGTGTGGGTTGGGGTGGGAGGAAGTGTTATTTCAGTACTTCACATATACTTAGGATGGGATAATGGGCTTGTATAGGATCCCAAAATAAAAGGTTTTGTCCAGGGGAAACATCAAAGTTTGGGGACTTATATAAAGCCTAGAGACTTTATATTGAAAGAGAGCAAGATAAGAAAGGGAAGAAATTGTTATTATGTAGTTATTTATGTTCAGAAAAAAAATTCTAACCTTGTTTAGTTGATTATATGACAGATATAGGACGTAGGTCATGTGCTAATTACAGATCACTTTTCAGTCAAAATGCCCAAACAGTGCCTAGTTTGTTTTGTGATGCAACACCTCTAAGAACTAAGATGGAAAAGTATTTCTATTAATGTTTGAAATGGTATGTTTTTATCCTTTAAGAACCTGCTGTTATTTTATATATAAATAGATGTTTAAATTGACAGGGTAAATTAAAATATTTGGAAATATCTGAGTACTAATTTTTCATTATCTTATTACAGCACCAGAAGTTGTACCAAACTACAATGCAAATGAAGGTAAGTTTCCCCCAGAGTGCAATACTTTAGCTAGATACTACATATTAAGACAAACTTTACAAAGGAAACTTACATTTTTCAATTGAGCATTCACATTGCTTTAAAAAATAGGTTAAATGCATGCAAGTGCAGGCAATAATAATTGATTGAATTCTTTAGGTGATATGTTGTAAAATTAAAATCAAGTACAATTAATTGAATCCCAAATTATTTGGGCACTGCAGGGCATATGTTCAGATGGTTTAAACCCTCAGTGCCCCAGGGCAGTCGGCACCACGCTTCTGCCCATGCGTGTCAGCCAGGTACTACTCTGCTCCCCTCCCCTCTAGCTTTGGTTTCCCCTCCTACTCCTGCCCCTGCTGTGCTGCTCCAGGTCAGAGGAGAGCTTCAGCTGGGCAGCTCCTGCCTCAGAGCATGAGGTTCAAGCTCTAGCTCCCAGCTTCCTTCCATCTGCTCACCTGCCTGGCGCAATGAGCAGCCAGCTGCAAATGGGTGGAGCCGGTGGTAGGCAGCTAGAGCCAGAACCCCACACGCTGGGGCAGGATCTGCACAGATAAAGCTTCCCTCCTGTCTATCCGGCATGGAGCAGCAGGGGCAGGAACAAGAGGGGGAGCTGCCACTGGAGGCAAGGGGAGCAGAACAGCCCCACCAGCTGCAGCTGCACTGGGAACAGCCCTGCCAGAAGCTGCGCACTGGCTGGGGCCAGGGCTAGAAGGTGCAGACAGGGGCGCAGTACAAGCTGCCCTGGGCAGAACACCATGGGGTTAGCCGTGGACCACATCGGAGCTCTGCTGCATGCACCCCATGCCGCCCTGTCTCTCCCTCTTTCCCTCCCCTCACCCCCAGCTGGCTCCCAGGACCCAGGCATTCCCCCACACATATCCTCATACATATGTCCCCGCCAACCCTCCGCACAGGGTGAGGGCATTCAGGGAGTGGATCACAGCTCAGCCTGGGCCCCAGCCCTGAGCTGTCACTGCTCTGCAACTTGGCTCCATGGTCCCGGCTTTGTCCACCCCAGACACTGCTCCCTGCCTGCCCAAAACCCCATAGAAAGTTTTGGTGAGTTGTTGTGGGAGGAGGTGGGGGAAGGTGGTGCTGACCCAGCCTGCAACAGCTCATCAAAACTCCCTATGTGGCCGTTGGACCCAAATAATTGCCCACCCCTGGTTTAAACTGTCTTTGTGTGACCAGTGTCTGTGGTACTATGACAGTTTACACTGCTTACGGATTTGCCTCTGCTTATTTTGCTAAAAGGTGCAGGCAAGTATAAACAGATTTGAGAGAATATGTTTAAAATTATTTGAATGAATGCTATAAGTGGGAAATTAAGCTAAACTTGGACTATAAAATATAGGAAGTTAAGCAACAGGTGATATAGCATACACACAAAGTTGCTGGTCAAATTACCCTTTCCTGAACACAACAAACTAAGTATCTCACAGCTGTTGTATTTTCAAAATAATTTTTGATCAGTTAGTTGGCAGTTTCTCCTGGGCTGAAATTCATTCCTACAAGTATGAAAGAACTGAGTGGCCATAGGAATCAAATTATATTTCAACAGCCTTTTTTGTGGAAACTAATTGATTATCCAAATGATATACTTTTTTTTTCCTTTTTCTTATAGAACGGAGGGCAATCAAGACATTTTTACCTGAGTTAAAGTGTGGTATTACAAACTACACTGTAACTCGACATAAGCGAATTGTAGGAGGAAATCCAGCTGCAAAGGTAAAGGCAAGGTGACCTAGTTTATTAACAATTATAATTGATGTTGTTTTTAGCTTTAGAGCACCTTGATGTAATAATAAAAGTGTTATCTTAAAGCATAATAAATGCAGACACCTAATTGATACATACATTGATACATTTGCAAGTTTAAACACAAATTAAATCAGCAAAAAGCAACTGCTAAGATTTCATTAAAAATGTTAATCCTTAAATGGTAGTTAAGAGTGCAGTATACTAAACTAATTCTAAAACTGTATTCACAACTTACAATTTTAAAATGCATTTTCCCTTTAAAGACCAAACAACATAAAGGTACTAGCTGTGACACCAGAAAATCATAGAAAAATAGGGCTGGAAGGGATATCAAGAAGTTGTCCCTGCTCTAGGCAGGATCATTTCTATCTAAACTATTTTAACTGGAATTACACAAATGTATTCTGCACAACAGTATAGGTTTTAAGTCTCACCATTGTAAAGAGATGCAAAACTCATAACTGTGCTACCATAGTTATGTAATGGAGCACTATGGAACAAGGGCAACCTAAAGATAAACCAGCAAAGTACTGGAACAAATCATTCAGAAAAATACTGACTATTGTAGTTAGAAAGGGTACTTTGTTTCTTGAGTAGTATGATATATTTGATCACACACAGAATTCACACCCACTTTGGTAGATACTTCTAGTAGTGAAGACATTATGTTGGACACAGAGCCATGGAAACTATTGTGTTGGAATTCACATCCTCTGTTTTTGCAGAGTCTAGATTTACAAGTACCTCTTGGACTGCAGAAGTTGGGTTAGAGATAACCAGGGAAAAGAAACGGGTGCAAAGGACTTTCTGCTACCTTCTTTACACTAAAAAATAAAATCCTATATAATCCTCTGTATAATATGAACTATGCAGAATTTTTTTTTAATAGGGTGAATTCCCTTGGCAAGTGGCAATTAAAGAAGAAGGTGGTACAGGTCCCTCAGTGTACTGTGGAGGGGTTTATATTGGTGGCTGTTGGATTTTAACTGCTGCACATTGCGTCAGGTAAGAAACAGTTTGGAAATGATATACTACTTGCAAGGTAATGTAACTGCTTGGGGGGATTGTGCTTCTCATCCACTTATTTGCTGACTCCTAGAAGCAAAAAATATTGAGCCACAGAGGTCACTGAACCAAAAATTATTATAATGAAACACATGAAAGAACCCAAGAGGAGAAGCAAAATGATCAGAAGTTCCCATGCTAAACTTCTAAATTCTTATTAGGAACATTAGGAAGATCTTGGTCAGTACTATCAGATTATTCTGAGATCTGCTCTAGCTCTCTCAGGTTCATATGGAACATGCTCGCTTTTACCACATAGGATTTCCAAGTGGTATCCTTCAAAATGACTATTCTGCCTGTTTCTGCATGGTGATCCTGCAGGTAGAACAATCTACAAATTCACTTCAACTTACTTTTCTCTACTCCAGGAGCAAATTGTTGCAGGGATTTGGGATTTTTTTCCTGTTTGTTGTCAATTAGCATTATGGCAAAAGGGTTCATTTTTCAGTTTATCCTAAAGGCGACCAACTCATCTTCAGTGCTTGCAGAAGGGAATTTTGCCAACAGCTTGAGCACTTTGTCTTAGACTAGTCACAGTCATAAAGCCACCATAATAGTGCCAGTTTTGTGGCGCTGCAAGTTCTGTGTAGTACCTCTTTGTAGTACAGGTTTCCTTCAATTTTATGTGGGTCCTGTATATGCAAATTCACTCTTATGAAATGACTCTCTTTATACCCCAAATTCATTATATGCGAAGTAAATTCACTCATGCAATTGGCTCCAGGGCTCCACGTGTCCCCACTCACCCCAGCCCATGGGCTGCTCCATCCTGTGGAGCAGGCAGGTAGTGTAGGCTGTTCCCAGGGCCGCTGCAGCAGAGACTGGGGTGAGTGGGGAGAAGCAGAGGCCCAGAGCATGGCGAGGCAAGTCTGTAGGGGGAGGGTCAGGGGGAAGACACTCAGAGGATGCTCCCTGTTGTTCTCAAATGTGCTAAAGACCAAGTTCTCATAGCCTGTTCTCAAGCCTTGTGCACTGGATGGGGCTTGGAATCAGGTGCAGCACAGCTTGACATGGCTGTATTCCCAGGATGTAGTCAGTGCATGGCAGCAGCTAGTCTCAGCACAGCTCCCCAGTAGCTGGAAGCTGCATATGCACCATAGCCAAGGAGCAGGGGTCTGGGAGAAGCAACGGCACACCAGGACCATACATCTGCAAGCATGGCCATGCCATGCTGCACACCTGGGTTCTTAATGCCACACTCTGCTCTGCATTCATGCTATGCCCACACTGGACAGGGAGGTTCAGGTCCCCACCCTTTCCTTCCCCTCCATTCCCAGGTCCAGCTGATTGCAGGCAGGGGAGCCCTCTCACCCAGCCCCTGTATTTGTCTTGCTGAGCTCTGGGGAGCCCTTGCCAACAGGTGTCCCTGTACCCCACCCCCACTCCAGCTGTGCCTGCACACCGTGGCTTCCCAGGGAAACACAGATTTTGTTTACAACCCCTGCTCAGTCCTGGGGCGAACAGTGGAGTAACTCCATGGCCCTGTCAGAGAGGCTGCTGCCCTGGTTCAGCCTATCACTGCCTCCCCTGGGAAGGGCTTTTCCCATACCTGCCCTGCCACCACTTCTCCCAACCACACCTGCTCTCCAGCTGTGGCATGTGTGCAGCTTCCAGCAGCTACAGAGCTGTGCCAGGACTGAACATCTGCAAACTGGGTTGATGCTGCCACTTTTCTTTGCTCCCCTTTTTGGGTATAAAATTGAAGCATGCCACCAGTTTTAATCCAGAAAAGAATTGTGCCCCAGGTATCAAAAGTTTAGGATACACTGCTCCAATGAAAGTATCCATGACTTTCCTGAGTAGTCTAGTCCACTGCCATACTATCCTAAAAGTAAGGAATTTTTTTCTGGTACTCAATTGAATTCTACTTTGCTGCACCTTAAAACCATTGCTCCATATTGCTGCAGCAGTGGAAAAACAGTTGTTTTCTTCCTTCTTTATGGCAAACTTTCAGATGTTTGAATCTCCTATCATGTCCTCGCTTAACTGCCTTTATTCCAAGCTAAACATGCTTGCTTATCTCAACCTTTCCTAATAGCGCTTGCTTTCCGATTTCATAGACATTAGGGCTGGAAGGGACCTTTAAGATCATCAAGTCCAGCCCCCTGCCCCAGGGCCAGGAAGTCAGCTAGAGTCAAAGGATCCCAGCAAGATAAGCATCCAAACGTTTCTTGAATGAGTCCAGAGTAGGTGCCTGCACCACTTCTGGAGGGAGTCTATTCTAGGTCTTGGGGGTTCGGACAGTAAAGAAATGTTTTCTTATGTCCAGCCTAAAATGGTCTTGGAGGAGGTTATGATCATTGGTCCTTGTTTCTCCTTGGGGCGCTCTGGTGAACAGACATTCTCCCAGATCCTGATGTACACCCCTTAAGTACTTATAAGCAGCCACCAAGTCCCCCCTGAGCCTGTGCTTTTCCAGGCTGAAGAGTCCCATGGCTCTCAGCCTTTCTTTATAAGGCCTATTATCTTGCCCTCTGATCATACACATGGCTCTCCTCTGGGCTCTCTCAAGCTTCTCAACATCCTTCTTGAATTGTGAAGCCCAGAATTGAATGCAGTACTCCAGCTGCGGCCTCACCAAGGCTGAGTACAGCGGGAGGATGACTACCTGAGATTTACTTGAGAAGCAATAAAGGGACCTTAATTTGTCAAAATTTGACTTTACTGGCCAGGAATAGCAGGAGGGGTGCTGACGTCTTTAGTGTTAAGTAGAAGTAAAACCATACGTTTTTGAAGGAAAATCATTGGCAGCTTGGTGAACTGCTGAGCATGCAGAAAAGGGCATTGTGACCACCTTGCATGAGGAATAGTTAAAAGGAACCTCCTCTCTTGCTGTTCAGTGCTCTCCATAATATATTTTTGCTCTAAAAAATATTCTCCACATCAGATGAAGTGCCCAGTCAATCCACACTGACATTTCAGGAAGCTCTGGACAACTTGGTTCAGAATAGGACAACTCTTTAATACATAGTATTAATTCTTTTTCCAGAAATTCTGATACTCTGCAAAATGGCAGAGTTGGCTACAGCTGAGAGCTTACATTTGTGCTGTATTTATTAGCAAAATGTATTTCATATTTCTTTCCAGAGCAACTCGAGTTCATCAATATAGAATATGGTCTGGCTTGTTGGACACAATACTGTATAATCCAGAAATGGATACTTTTAAGCTGAATAAAGTGATAATCCACGAAAAGTATAATGCTGGAACATATGAAAATGACATTGCTCTGCTGGAGATGAAAAGTATGGACAAAGGAAAACCATGCTCGTTATCATATAGCACACCTGCCTGTGTCCCATGGTCAGAATATATGTTTAAACCTGGACATAGATGCAAGATTTCTGGATGGGGACTAGAAAGAGGTATTTGACTGATAGTTTATTAATGTATTTTCTTTTTATTCACCTCATGGTAATATTCACAGGCTTCAATCAGGATGCACAATCTTGTATGCTGGGTACCTTGAAAATACTTAGAAAAAATTGTTCTGGTCCCCAAAAGCTAACAATCCAAAAACATTATAGATACATTTCAGGAAAGGGTTGGGAATGCAGGTAAAACATGTCCAAAGTGACCCTGGATACATCATGTTATATACATGCCTTTAAATGTCAGTAAAATAGAGTAATCCAGGTAGGAAGGAGGATTTTATTGGTGGAGAATAAGATGGGGGCGAGAGGTATATGTAAGGACAGAAGGGTGGGCAGCTGAGGGGCTGCAGTCAGGGGAGGGCAAAGACAAACAGAAAGTAACACTCCTTTGTCTGACTGATATACACAGATTAATGGAGTACAGGCAGTCCTTGGACTTGCAACACAATTGGTTCCTGAAAACCACGTCTTAAGTCAAAACATTGTAACTTGGAACCAATCTTTTCATAAGAAACAATGTTATAAATTGGGGACTAGTTCCTAAACCAAGGCCCAATACCCTATTTTCACCAAAAATGTCCCAGAATTTTGTACTTACTCAATTATAGATGAGTATCATAGCTACATTAATGTTTTTATATTGTAAATAGCAGTCACATCGATTTGGAAGGACTTCTTTGAGGTGACTTTGCTGGACTTTTTGAAAGGCTCTTGGTTGGACTTTTTGAAGGGTTCTTGGTTGGAGTCTTCTCAGGAGTCTTGGCTGCAGGTTTTTCTGGAGTCTTGTCTGCTTTCTTAAAGAAAGCATCCAAGGAAGTTTGGACAGATGTTCTCCAGCAAGATGAGTGATGCAGCGAACTTGTTCACTGGCGTGGCATCGCATCTGATCAAGCAATGTACAGTCGAAACTGGCATTATAAAGTTGAAACAGGGTGTCAATTTTATAAATGTTGTAACTTGAAACACTGTAAATCGAGGACTGCCTGTATATGATATTTTGCATGGGTTAAAAGCTTGGACACATTTCATAGCAAAAGATCCTAAAGAGTCTGCATCATCCTATTTTTATTTTCCCTTAAAGTTAAATATGTTAAGCTCTGTTCTGTCCTAAGAACTCAGCCGCATAAAGGTGCAGAAAAAAGTGAATACATTGGTTCAGGTCATGTTAAGGAAAAGCAAATGTACAACTTCTGATTTATATTAGAGTATGTTTAAAATGCATTTACAATTTTACATATTACAGAGATTTGTTCTTTCTCTTTTTTTAGACAGTGCCAAACAATTTGTCCTCAAATGGGGCTATATTGATATACTGTCAAATTGTACTGATATCTACAAGGACCGTTTTTTTAAAGGAATGGAATGTGCAGGCAAGTATTAATTTCATCACTATTCATTATATCACTATTAAATCTCTAATAACCATAGTCCTACGAGCTGATTTTCTTTTAGAGCCATGAACTAGCACCATACCTACAGGCTGGAACTCCCTTCTCATCAGTGCAAAGGCAGAAAAGGATCTTGGAGTCATCATTGATGCCAAGATGAACATGGGCAGGCAGTGTGGGGATGCAGTCAGGAAGTCCAGCCGTACCTTGGATGCATCTCAACCAGGTCCAGGGAGGTTATATTCCCCCTCTATGCGGTACTGGTCAGGCTACAGCTGAAGTACTGCATCCAGTTCTGGGCACCCCACTTCAAGAGGGATGTGCACAACATGGAGAGGGTCCAGAGAAGGGCCACTTGCATGATTAGGGGGCAGCAGGGCAGGCCCTACGAGGGCAGGCTATGGGACCTGAACCTGTTCAGCCTCCACAAGAGAAGGCTGAGGGGGGACCTAGTGGCCTGTTACAAACTAGTCAGAGGGGACCAGCAGGCACTGGGGGAGTCCCTGTTCCCCCAAGCTCTACCAGGA